TACCCCACCGCTGTCAACTGATGTAGGGATGTCTACAACTGATGAGGAAACACTCATTGATATGCTGTATGAATCTCAAATGTATTTTTTTGACAATCCTGAGCTGATTGATGGCATTGCAAAGTGTTTGCTGTCAAAGTAGACTGTGAATTTTTTTGGCTTGTTGGACTTTTTGCTTAAATTTGATAGATGAATTTTAAAACTATAAAAACATTAATGATACATGTAGTATCTTTAAAGTTTGCATAGCTACAATGAGTTGTGATAACACCCACAATTAGTAATGATAAAATAAATTGTGTAAAGATTACTTTCTTGATAATAAATATTTAGCAACATCATCAATGATCTGTGGATTATCAAGGTAGTACATCTGAGAGTTATACATCATGTCGATCAGCTCTTTTTCATCAGTAGTAGCCAAATCAATCGCTGTATCCATTGAAGGAGTAAGACGAAAGTACTGACAGCCAAGGGCATCACAAAATGCTCTAGCACGATCCACTTCTTGTCCATCGCATAGTGTAGCTTGGTTTAAAAAATGCGAAGCGAGGCTTTGGAGCGAACGAAGGTTTTTACAGCTTAGAAGAGAAAATGGTGATGTTGCGTATAATTCAACTGCTTCATCTACATGTTTTGAAGTTACTAAACCAGTGCCCACCGAAAGCACACAGCCAAACTTAGCTGGTTTCCCTTCTCTTTTACCTTGCTCTATGATCTCTGCCATGCTATCCAGTGTGGGATTGTTAGAGACCAGTCCTCCATCAAGAAGTGGGAGGTCACGAAGTCTAGGGAAATAAGCCGGAGCAGCTGTACTGACTCTGCATGCCTCCCATACTTTTCTTTCTTTAGGTCCAGCCTGCCCATCCCTTGATCCTCCATAACTGGTCATCAAGTGTAGCTTGTAGGGAGTATATTCTGTTAGTGTTGCCGTGATGATAACCCGATAACGTGGATCGAGATCAGAGAGGCATTCATCTTCTGTGAATATGTCTTGTAAGATTGCGTTAAACTTTTCTCCTTTCTCAGAGGCAGAGCTTTTGAGAACATAGATGAGACCCTTGCTGATCATTGCCCTGATATTGTAACAGTCTGCCTGTAAGTAATACATACAGGCGGCGACCATTCCTCCACCACTGGTCCCTGCTATGTAGTCAAAGTAAGTATATAATCGTCGCTTGTCGGGATCAAGATCAAGCATCCTCTCCTCAATAGCAATCAGTGCCTGCATGATGTTAAAAATACGAATTCCACCTCCATCAAGACTCAGTAGGAATACATCGTCCTGGTTTTTTGAACGGGGTGGGATTGTTGGATTCTTTGTAAAGTACTCAAAACTCTTCGCTTGAGAATCTCTAGCCTTTTTCAGGACCTCAATGATAGGACTGATGTCTCCTTTTTGTGCTTCCTCTTTTATTTCACGTTTTTTTGCTTTTGGCATGCTATCGAGTGGGACAAACAAAACTGCAGCACATAATAGTCCTTTTCTAATTGTTGGGGTTTGTTTTTCTTCTTTGATGTTTTCCGCAACATCCAGTGGAGTTTCATTTTGCCTGTTAGCTATTGTGGTATCAGCATTGAAGGCTATCAATGCCTTCACTAAGGTAATGTCACACCTCTCAACTGCCAAATGAAGGGCAGTACTCCCTGTCTCCTCGTCTCTAATATCAGGATCACTACCAAACAAAAGAAGGTTCAGCGTAGTTTTTATGTAGCCTTTCTCTACTGCTTTCATGAGTGGGGTCTTGCCACCACTCTCATAATAATCAAACGAGATGCTGCCTTGTCTCAAGAGACTTCTTCGATCAGTATGACCCGTTTGTCGTCGGTTTATGGATCTAGCCCTGAGATTTCTGGCTGGAACTTTGCGAAATTTCTCCCAAAGTTTCTCTGTAATGGTATAATCATCTACATCTAGATCCACTGATTCTTTACGGCGCTTTGCCATAACAAACCAAACCAAGACTACTCTTGACCAAACTGACCACAAAAAATAATGAGAGCACTGAAGTGCAGACCCTCGCCACAACTGTTATGTAGGTTGAGCAGTTTGTGTTTTCAATTTAACAAGTTTAACAACAGCAAAATGCAATTAAAAAAATTAGCAAAACAACAGTACCACACCCGCCATTTTATTTGGACTGATGGACTCATTATAGTCTCACACATGACCAGCCTATTTGGACTGATGGACTCATTATAGTCTCACACATGACCAGCCTATTTGGACTGATGGACTCATTATAGTCTCACACATGACCAGCCTGTCTGAGCCTGAGGCTGATAACAGCTGATAGAGGTCTGTCACGAAAAAATTATCCTATGGGATAGAAATATCACGTGATATTTATGTCCGCGTCAGCAAATTTTTGTCCTACCCAAAGAAAAGTGTAAAAGAATTGTATTCGACTTTGTTCCTTAATTATTTATCTATGGAATACACGTACAAAGCATGTGGGACCCTTTATTATACGTTCAAGGTACGTAGAAGAAGATTTCAGATCGAAGAAGGATGACAGACAGTCACAGACTGTGTCAAGAACCGAGTGAAGAACCCAGGAAAGAAGAGGATGATCTTGTGGAGGAGGCAGCTGTGTATTTAGCTGATAGAAAGTGTCCAGAAGGTTGTAGTGCTAACAGAACGAGGCAGATAAGGAAAAGAGCTGAAAAGTTTGTTTTCAGTGCAAAATGGGGAACCGTATTACCAGACCAAGATGAATGGTCAACTATATCATGATAGTGTAGGTGTTTTGTGTATTTTAAATAGTTTAGTTAGTTATGTGTATGTATGTATGTACGTAGTATGATATCTGTGCTTTTGTAGACAAACTCAGTATATATATGCATCTGTATTCATGATTTGAATAATTAAATCAAAACATCAATTATAACAAACTGATGGAACAAATAGTGTAGTTATATATGATAGCTTGCCTGGCAATGGTATTGATAAACGTAACAGGGAGCAGATAGCAGCAATACTGCAATGCACCGAGACCGAGTACAGGGAAATTAAAGTGACTGTTCCTAGTATGCAAATTAAGGCAAAATGGACAAAAAGAAGTTGTGGCTTATTTGCCCTTGCTTTTGCAATGTCAATTTGTGCTGGTTAAGACCCAACTTCTTGCAGCTATATTTAACATAAGCTTCGTTTCCATCTTTTATAATGCTTAGAAAAGAATGTGATGTCTTTGTTTCCTACTTGTTTAAGAGCTAGATGCCCTGGACCATCAAAAGAATACAGGTTTCCTATATATATATATATAGCTACTGCCTGTGCAGACAACCTATAGTAATGAAGAAAGAATGCCGGTAAAATGTTCTTAATGTAAGGAGTGGTATCACGTAGAGTGTGAACAAATACCAGAAGATGTTTGGACTGATAAGGACTACTTTTGGTCATGTAATTGTTGTAAAAGCTGAAGACAATTATTGTTTGATAATGAAATGTATTATTATTATTAATACTGAGTGCCAAGTAAATTTTCCTTATCAAAATAGTCTATGCATAATATTATGATCCTAGGATAAAATATTTCAGATACAATTTGTCCTAGGACAAAAATATTTTTATATTATTTTGTCCTAGGACAAAAAAATTAGTCCTAGGACAAAAAAATTAGTCCTAGGGTAGGACAATAAAAGCTTGCCTAGGACAAAATATTTCTGAAAATTTTTGTCCTAGGACAAAATATTTCTGCAAGATTTTGTCCTAGGATAAAATATTTTGTCTCATCGGGACAAAATTTGGGTGGGACAGATTTTTCTGCGACACACCTGCTATTTTAATTGGATCATCATGACCACCCTGATAGAGGTCTACATTCCTGTATCATGGATTTTGATCAGCCTGCACAGCAATCAGTCTAGTATGATACGATCATGATGATCATCTATGATACAACCAAGCTGGAGTATGGACCTGGTTCAGCCAAAGCAACAGACATGATTCAAACAATTGATACCAGCCAGGGCTGTATCAACAGGCTTGAATCATTGATAATTCTTGGCTGAGTAAGTAGACAGAATTTTATAACAAATTAAAAATTTTTTTAACCAATATAAGTATGCATTATATAAAAGAGTTTCAGCAGCAGTGCAAGACTACAGGACAACTGTCATTTAGATTTTGCAAGTATGCACTTTGCAATGTCATCAACTTTCTTTGGGTGTGCGAGAATGTCCATTTGCGTATGATACATCATGTCAATGATTATCGCACGATCAGTACAATCTGGATCAACATCTTCCGATTCTCCGTAAAGAGGCGGAGACCATCGGTAGTAATTCCAGCCACTGTTTTGACACCATGATCTAGCAATCTGGACGCAATGACCATTGGATTGGGTGACCTCTTCAATCAAATGATCAAATACACTAATCAGACTCTTTGCTGCTTTGGGTAATTTAACAAGACTCTTTAATGAGGCACCAGGAAGAAAAAGATTGACATCTTCCACATCCTTAGACTTCCGAGAATATCCAGCTCCAATGGATAGCACACAACCAAACTCAACCTTTTTCTCACTTTGTTCAATGACTTCAGTCATGGCAGCAAGAGTTGGATTATTAGCCATTAGACCTCCATCCAAGAACTTGTCATCAACAGCAGGAAAATGGATAGGGGCAGCTGATGTAATCCGAGCAGCTTTCCAGACTTCAAGATCTTTCGGCCCAGCTTCCTTCTTATCGATTTCATCCATCACTCGTCTTTCATAGCTAGTCATTAGGTGTAGCTTGATAGGGTGCTGGTTTGCAAGGGCTGCAGTGACTATAGCATGCTGGGGCCTTTTCAGAGATGCCATTTTCGTATCCTTGAATATCCCCTTGAGAAAGCTATTCATGTGCTTCTTACGATCTTTCAGCCCTTTATCAAAGACGTGCTCTATGACATCGTACACCAAACACCTTCCAGTCCTCACACTATGGTTTGTGTATAGAAGTACTAGCCCAGCAATAGCACCACTGCTCGTACCAGCAATATAATCGAAATAAGATGATATTGAGGAGCAATGATTTCGTGAGAGCTGCTTCATGCGATCCTCCAAAGCAATCAGGTACTGACAACCATTGAAGGCACGAATCCCACCACCATCCAGGCTCATGAGGTAAGTACCTGGTATTTTCTCAGAGAGAAGCTCCGAATGAGACTCAAAATATATTTTTGTTATTTTGTGGTTGGAAGCTGCCTCGACTAAATATTGATGAATTTCAGAATCTTTTTCTGCCAAATCTATTGGAGTTAAATTATTGCTATTTGCAATGGTTGGATTGGCATTGAATGCTAACAGAAGCTTAACCATCAATTCGCTTTTTGTCTTGACAGCAACATGAAGAGCTGTCCCAATGGAATCGTCGTACTTATTTGGATCTTCACCAAATAACAGCAGCTGTAGGGCAGTTGATACGTATCCTTTCTCAACACATGCAATGAAACTGTGACTGCTAACGTTGCTGTCGGTTTTAAACGCATTGGCAACAATTTTTTCAGCTCCTTCAAGTGACGGGGCCATAGCATCCTGGATCTGTGCAAAAAATGACTTCCATATCTCATCTCCCAGCTCATCATCGTCAATTCCAGTTCCAATTTGCTCCAATTTAGACATAAATTTGCCAAATAAATCCCCAGCAGCACTTGTTATCTCTTTGAAGAAACTTGGGTCATCGTCATCATCATCGTCATCTTTGCTGCTGCCATTCATTGCAAGTTGCAGTTGCTCTATTGCTGTACTTGCTTTTAATTCTTCGAGAATTGGATACAATAATGTGAGATTTTTTGGGGAGGAATCAATCTCTTCCATTATCCTAGCTATCAAATCTTCCTTTGTTTTTATTGGGTGTTGTTGCTGTTTGCGGAGGAGGACATTAAGAAGGTCAACTGTTATTTCGATGTTATCCAGGTCCAGCAACAGAGAGAGGACCGGTCGGAGTTCTGCGAAGGTTGCCTTTGCTTGTTTTAAGTCGTCTCCTCGGTGTAGCAGTAAGAAGCCATCCTCCGCGTCCTTGTCTGGTTTCATGAGAACGCCATACTTGGCTTGCAATAAACTGGCTGCTTCTACAATGCCTACAACTCCGTGAGAGAAATTTTCTAACTCTAGGCTTTCTTCAAACAGCGTCTTGCTGTTCCTGCCAAGCCTAACCTCCTTTATTTTCTGAGACATCGTCTGATTGTTGTAGGCGAAGATAGACTAAATTAAAAGGGGCGTATATTGATCTAAAAAATTTTATTTGATTTAAAATTAATTTTTTTAAAATTATTTAAAAATTTAACTAGATTTCAAAAATAAAAAATCTATGCATAAAAAACAGCGAAGTGCAATTATCAATCATAATGTTAATAAGCAAACTAATTAGCTAGTTTCTTTGCAAGTATGCATTTAGCAATGTCATCAATTGTCTCTGGATTCTGAAGAATGTACATTTCTGTGTGGTACATCATATCAATGATGACATTGAGGTCGGTACAAGCAAGGCCTAGATTTTTAGAGAGAAATGGAGACCAGCGGTGATACTTCCAACCCTTTTCATTGCATAGAGATCGAGCAGCTTGTTCGGATTTTTCTTTCTTGGAAAATTCTGTTAAAAGTTTAAACGATTTAGTAGATGAAATTGGCTTTGTGCAGATTCGCCCAAAAGGAACATTCCAAGCTAAATATTGTAAGCGGTCCACAATATCTGGATCTTCAAAAGATCCCGTCCCAATAGACAATACACAACCAAACTCACAATTTTGCTCAATTTTGCTAATCTCTCCCAAAGCGACATGGGTCGGATTATTAGCCAATAATCCACCATCATAATACTTGCCATCGACAGGAGGAACAATCACAGGAGCTGCAGATGACATAAAAGCTGCCTTCCAAACTTGGTGATCGGTTGATCCAGTTTCACTGTTACTTCCATAGCTTGTTATCAAGCAAAGTTTTTTATTACGATACTCAGTAGTAGTGACTATAGCATGGGGAGGACCCTTTAAAGATGACATTACTCTTTCCTCAAATATCCTCTTAAGACATTTCTTCATCATTTTTTCGATATAAATTGAATTAAAAGATATGACTTTCACCAAAATTTGATACACTAGACATCGTCCGATTCTGAGTGAGTGGTTTGTATAGAGGAAGGAAAGGGCAGCAATGGCACCAAAACTAGTACCAGCTATGTAATCAAAATAATGATGAATAGGGCAAAATTCAGCCGATTCAGGCAAGAGTTCCTTCATGCGATCCTCTAAAGCAATGAGAAATGTGATGCTATTGAACCCACGAATTCCACCACCATCCAGGCTCATAAGGTAAGTACCAGTCCGAGTTCCCTCTGGAAGGTTTGGATTAGAAGCAAAATATTCTTTTGTTTCTGTTTGCCCAGTAGCAGCTTCTGTAAGTAAATGAGAGATTTTTTCTTTATCTGCAGCTAGATATATAGGAGTCTCTTCTATTTCGTTTTCAATATTTGGATTAGCTTTAAAGGCAAGTAGTAGCTTCACCATTACTTTGTTGTCTTTTCTAACTGCTACATGGAGAGCAGTATTGCCATCATTTCTTTGTTGGTTCGGATCGCTACCAAGCAGTAACAACTGCAAGACAATGGAAATACTGTCTCGTTCAACAGCTTCAATGAGGATAACATTTGAAGCACCATCTGTATCATCAACCTCCAATATCTCGGCAGCAATGCTTTCAGCATGTTTAACAGAAGGAGTATCATTATTTTCAAATGGGCGACAAAATGCTTTCTCCCATAACCCATCTTCCTTACGTTTAGTACCTTTCGGTGCACTAGGGCCTCGTCCATGTTTATTTCGAAAGTTAGGGTCCTGTTTGATGTGGCGAGACATTCGTATGCCATCTACTTGAACGCGGCCATCGACTTCCTCAATGCCATCGACTTCCTCAATGCCATCAACTTCCTCAAAGCCATCGACTTCCTCAAAGCCATCGACTTCCTCAATACCATCAACTTCCTCAAAGCCATCGACTTCCTCAATACCATCCACTTCCTCAATGCCATCCACTTCATAACTACCAGAACCTAAACTCATCTCACTCTTTAGGAGGTTCAGATACCCAACTTGACTGATCTCTGCCATCATTTTTTCAACCAGTCCCTCATCAGGCTCAGGCAGAAGGAAGACATTGAGGAGATCTACTGTTATCTCTATATCTACGTCTAAGAGCTCGGAGAGGCCTGTATCCAAGCTATGGAAAGTCTCTTCTGTCTCTTCATTTCCTTCATACAAGAGGAACCAATTATCACCCCTGGCCTTCAAAATAATAACGTACTGGTGGTGTCTTACAAGGTTATCTATGCTTTCAAGTTTTATTACCCTCACTTCACCATTCTGATACACCTTTGATTTGGTGCCATTCTCGAATAGCAGCTCTGGAGCAAGGTTATGGTAATGGTCGAGCCGCTCTACTTGGAATCCTGTGGAAGCCATAAAAACAGGGGTATGCAGTGCACTCCCAGAGGCGTGAACAAGTTATCATTCATAGTATAAATGGAACATTATAAAACTGTGTATTGTTATTCTTATAATGTTGTTGTTGCTGTTGTACTAATTAGGTCTTGTTTTTCTTGCAAGTATGCATTTAGCAATGTTGTCAATTGTCTTTGGATGCTGAAGAATGTACATCTCTGTGTGGTACATCATGTCAATAATGACATTGAGCTCCTTACAACCAGAACCTATATTCTTGGAAAGAGGAGGAGACCAGCGGTGATACTCCCAGCCTTTAGTGTCACATAGGGACTTTGCAGATTCTTCACTTGTCTCTTTAGCCCTGGCATAACTATTTAAAATGTTGAATGCTTTAGATAGTTTAAATGGATTGAGGATTAGCTTAAAAGGAAAATTCCAAAAGAAATATTCGACGTTGTCCATAAGTTTTGCATTTTCAAAAGATCCCGTCCCAATAGACAATACACAACCAAACTCACAATTCTGCTCAATTTCACTAATCTCTCCCAAAGCAGCATTGGTCGGATCATTAGCCATTAATCCACCATCATAATACTTGCCATCCACAGGAGAAAAAATGAAGGGAGCAGCAGATGACATGTGAGCTGCCTTCCAAACATGGTGATTTGATCCAACTTCACTGTTACTGCCATAGCTTGTCATCAAGCAAAGCTTGCCAGGATGCTTGGTAGTAGTGACTATAGCATGAGGTGGCCCCTTCAGAGAAGACATCACTTTTCCTTTAAATATGCTCTGAAGGTTCCTTTCCATTGAATTCTTGCGTTTATCAATATGATTTAAAGCGATGACTTTTATCAAAATTTGATAAACTAGACATCGTCCGATCCTGAGTGAGTGGTTTGTGTAGAGGAGGGTAAGAGCAGCAATGGCACCAGAGCTAGTACCAGCTATGTAATCAAAATAATGATGAATAGGGTGGCATTTAGGCGAGAGTTTCTTCATGCGTTCCTCCAAAGCAATGAGAAATGTGACGCTATTGAACCCACGAATTCCACCACCATCTAGACTCATAAGGTAAGTACCAGTCTGAGTTCCCTCTGGAAGGTTTGGATTAGAAGCAAAATATTCTCTTGTTCCAGCTTGCAAATTAGCAGCTCTTTTAAGTAAATAGGAAATTTTTTCGTTATCTTCAGCTAAATCTATTGGAGTTTTTCCTGTTTCATTTTCTACATTTGGATCAGCTTTAAAAGCAAGTAGTAGCTTCACGATTATTTCATTCTTTTGCTCAACTGCTACATGGAGAGCAGTATCACCATTAGACAGCTTACATTGGTTTGGATTGATACCAAACAATAACAGCTGCCAGGCAAAGGACATAGATCTATAAGTTCCCTGTCTAACGGCTTCTATGAGGGCTGAAATTGAGATACCAGCTGAATATAAATTGTCAATCTTCAATAACTTGGCAGCAATGCTTTCAGCTTGCTCAGCAGAAGGAAATGGATTATTTTCGCTATGAAATGGGCCACAAAATGCCTCCTCCCAAAACTCATTTTCAACTTCCTTGGTAATACGCTTAACTCCTGGTATTATCACATATCCTTCATCACTTTCGTAATCATCACTGCCATCTGTCATTTCATGACCACCACTTGTCTCACTCTTTAGGAGGTTCAGATACCACACTTCGCTGATTTCTAGCATCATTTTTTCAATCAATCCCTCATCAGGCTCAGGCAGAAGGAAGACATTGAGGAGATCTACTGTTATCTCTATATCTATGTTTAGGAGCTCGGAGAGACCTGTATCCAAGTTATGGAAAGTCTCTTCTGTCTCTTTATCTCCTTCATACAAGAGGAACCAATTATCACCCCTGGCCTTCAAAATAATAACGTACTGGTGGTGTCTTACAAGGTTATCTATGCTTTCAAGTTTTATTACCCTCGCTTCACCATTCTGATACACCTTTGATTTGGTGCCATTCTCGAATAGCAGCTCTGGAGCAAGGTTATGGTAATGGTTGAGCCGGTCTACTTTGAATCCTGTGGAAGCCATGAATAAAGTGGTCGCTATGCAGTGCACTCCCAGAGGCGTAAACAAGTTATAAGTATAAATAGATAGAAGATTATAAAAAAACTATGTTGTGTGTGCAGTTGTTGTTGTTATATGTGCAGTTGTTGTTGTTGTTGCTGTTGTACTAATTAGGTCTTGTTTTTCTTGCAAGTATGCATTTAGCAATATTGTCAATAGTCTCTGGATTCTGAAGAATGTGCATCTCTGTGTGGTACATCATGTCAATAATGACATTGAGCTCCTTACAAGCAGGACCTATATTCCTGGAAAGAGGAGGAGACCAGCGGTGATACTCCCAGCCTTTAGTTTCACATAGGGACTTTGCAGATTCTTCATTTGACAACTCTTTAGCCCTGGCGTAATTACTTATAATCATGTATGCTTTACCCATTTTAATTGGCTTGAGGATTTGCTCAAAAGGAAAATTCCAACAGAAATATTCCAAGTTGTCCACGATATTTGGATCTTTAAAAGATCCCGTCCCAATAGACAATACACAACCAAACTCACAATTCTGCTCAATTTCACTAATCTCTCCCAAAGCAGCATTGGTCGGATCATTAGCCATTAATCCACCATCATAATATTTGCCATCCACAGGAGGAAAAATCAAGGGAGCAGCAGATGACATGTGAGCTGCCTTCCAAACATGATTTGATTCAACTTCACTGTTACTTCCATAGCTTGTCATCAAGCAAAGCATTCCATCAGGATGCTTGGTAGTAGTGACTATAGCATGTGGTGGGCCCTTCAAAGAAGACATCGCTTTTCCCTTAAATATGCTCTGAAGGTTCCTTTCCATTGAATTCTTGCGTTTATCATTATCAATATGATTTAAAGCAATGACTTCTTTCAAAATTTGATAGACTAGACATCGCCCGATTCTGAGTGAGTGGTTTGTATAGAGGAGGGTAAGGGCAGCAATGGCACCAAAACTAGTACCAGCTATGTAATCGAAATAATGATGAATAGGGTGGCATTTAGGTGATAGTTCCTTCATGCGATCCTCCAAAGCAATGAGAAATGTGATGCTATTGAACCCACAAATTCCACCACCATCCAGGCTCATAAGGTAAGTACCAGTCCGAGTTCTCTCTGGAAGGTTTGGATAAGAAGCAAAATGTTCTTTCATTTTATCTTGCCATTCAGCAACTTCTGTAAGATCTAAATGGGAAATTTTTTCTTTATCTGCAGCTAAATCTGTTGGAGTTTTCCCTGTTTTGTTTTTGATATTTAGATCAGCTTTAAAGGCAAGTAGTAGCTTCACCATTACTTCATTGTCTTTCCTAACTGCTATATGGAGAGCAGTATCACCATTAGACGGCTTACATTGGTTCGGATTGATACCAAACAATAACAGCTGCAAGGCAAAGGACATAGATCTATAAGTTCCCTGTTCAACAGCTTCTATGATTGATATACTAGCTGAATATGAATTATCAATCTTCAATAACTTGGCAGCAATGCCTTCAGCTTGCTCAGCAGAAGGAAATGGAACATTTTCACTATGAAACGGGCCACAAAATGCTTCCTCCCAAAACTTATTTTCAACTTGCTTAGTAATAACTACTGGTACAAAATCGTATTTATCATCACTTTCGTAATCTTCACTGCCATCTGTCATTTCATGACCATTCCTCAGGAAGTTTAGATACCACACTTTACTGATCTCTAGCATCATTCTTTCAACCAATCTCTCATCAGGCTCAGGCTGAAGGAAGACATTGAGGAGGTCCACTGTTATCTTTATATCTATGTTTAGGAGCTCGGAGAGGTCATCATCAAGACTATGGAGAGTCTCTTCTGTCACTTCATCTCCTTCATACAGGAGGAACCAATTATCACCATTGGCCTTCAAAATAATAACGTATGCTGCAGTTGCAGTCTCTGCAAGGCCATTGACGCTTGCGAGCTTTGTTTCTCTTGCTTCACCATACAAGTAGTCCGGCTTTAACTTAGTGCCATTCTCAAATAACAGCTCTAGAGTAAGGTTATGATAATAGTCGATGCTTTTAGCCTCCATTTTAGTGATTCAAAAAGTAAACCCGACCGACTATGCTCCACCTTTAGGGGCGAGGTCTCGATCCATGATCCATTCCAGTGATTCCACGTGCAGTTAAAAAATGGTAGACAGACTTACATTTTAGATTATAACTTTTGTATTTCTCTTTCAGACAGCACTTCAACCAATTCAGATCCTTAAGAGAGATGCAGAAGAAGAGAAAGGGGAGACAGCCAGATTAGTAAGCTATTTTTTCAAGAATTTATCCATTTTAATTGAATTAATTTTCCTAGTCATCCTTCGTTGGTGCTATTGCCATTGGTGAACTCATAAAGAGCACATTGGGTCCAAAAGGAATGGTAATAATAATTCCGATACATATTAACTACTTATACACAAAATAGGATAAAATTCTAGTCTCTTCTGGTCCTCATAACGAAGGCGTTCAAGTCACCAACGATGGTGCTACCATTTTAAAATCAATAGGAGTAGACAATCCAGCCGCTAAAGTACTTGTTGGTAAGACTCACTTAAATTGAATTTTAGATTTTCTGTAAATTAAAATAGATATCTCATTAGTGCAAGACGATGAAGTAGGAGATGGTACTACTAGTGTAACTGTATTGGCTTGTGAATTGCTAAAGGTAAACTCCCTTAACTGTTTATTCCTATGATTGCTATCTGCATGTACTTAAGCATAGTTTCACTTTTCTTCTGTACTAGGAAGCTGAAATACTCATTGCTTCAAAAATACATCCACAGACTATAATTAGTGGGTGGAGAAAAGCTGCAGATGAAGCTCGAAAAGCACTCACTGAAGCTGCGAGAGATAACAGGTGGGTGGACATGGAACTGGTGGACTCTTAACTTTGTTTTATGTAGCGCCGATGATGAAAAGTTTCGTGAAGATCTTATGAATATTGCTCGTACGACACTCAGTTCAAAGATACTGGTGCATCACAGGGACCATTTTGCCCGTTTAGCAGTTGACGCTGTCTTGCGATTAAAGGTAAGGAAATGAGTGTGGTATTTTATTCTTTAATGTGTACATTATCTAGGGCTCAGGTAATTTGGAGGCAATACAAATTATAAAGAAACTTGGATCAAGACTGGCTGACTCTTATCTTGAAGAAGGTCTCTCTCTACTCATAATTATGTTTAGACTAATGCATAGCAAAGTGGTCAAGAGTGTCATGTTTATCGTGTGTTAATGTCTTTAGGTTTTCTATTGGAGAAAAAGGTTGGAGTCAATCAGCCTAAGAGGATAGATAATGCCAGTATACTTATTGCTAACACTGCAATGGACACTGACAAGATTAAAGTAAGCAACCACAAGAAACTTTAAAATTTTCTTGTGGTCATTTTTTGCTTAACTTTTTACACAGTTTAAGAATACTGGATTATGCGTTTGTGTATTGATTAGGTTTTTGGATCCAAAGTAAGAGTGGACTCTACACAGAAGATTGCCGAACTTGAGGTAGCAGAAAAGGTGAGTCACCCTTAGACCAGTTTGTGTATTATGACATATTCTTCGTAGGAGAAAATGAAAGACAAAGTGAACATGATCCTGAAACACAAAATCAATGTATTCATTAACAGGTAGTTGTTGGCACTGGTGATTGTGTATCAATTACTTTTCGTTTCTCTCTTAAGGCAACTCATCTATAATTATCCAGAGCAGTTGTTTGCTGATGCTAATGTTATGGCTATTGAACATGCTGACTTTGAAGGAATAGAAAGACTTGCCCTTGTTTTAGGTAAGTCACATTGCAACAAATGAGCTCATCGCTTGTTGTGTGTAGGTGGTGAAATTGTATCAACATTTGGCGATCCTGAAAAGGTAAAGCTAGGAAAATGCAAACTTATTGAAGAAGTGATGATTGGAGAAGACAAGGTAAGGCAGGCAGTCTCTGATTTATGTAACTCCTTTCCAGTTAATTAGGTTCTCTGGTGTAGCTTTAGGTGAAGCCTGCACTATAGTCATTCGTGGTGCTACTCAGCAGATTCTTGATGAAGCCGAACGCTCCCTTCATGATGCTCTCTGTGTTCTCTCTCGTATGGTTAAAGAGACTAAAGTTGTCTATGGAGGAGGTAAGAGGGACAAGGTAAGGCATACAATTTATTTTTCGTTTTAGGTTGTTCAGAAATGTTAATGGCTAATGCGGTCCAGAGACTGGCTGCAACTACTCCTGGGAAAGAGTCCATGGCCATGGAATCATTTGCTAAAGCTTTACGTCAAGTGAGCTGTAACATCTTGCACTTTTGTATTTTACTGGCATTGATTTTGATGATCATATCCAGCTTCCAACAATAATTGCCGATAATGCTGGCTATGACAGCTCTGAGCTCATTTCACAACTAAAAGCTCTTCATGCTGAAGAAAAGACCAACAAGGGACTAGGTTAGCTTATCCTAGCAATTATAGTTGACTCAAATTTCTTCCTAGATATGGCAAAAGGTACCGTCGGAGATATGGATACTCTGGGCATCACGGAGTCCTTCCTTGTCAAGAGACAGGTTCTCCTCTCAGCTGCTGAGGCTGCAGAAATGATACTTAGAGTAGATGACATCATAAAAGCTGCACCAAGGTAATTATTAGGTGTTGTTTGTTGTTATTATTTATGTTATTGTAGAAAGCGTGTTCCTGATCATTGTTCTTAGAAGTGCATTAGAGGAACACGACTTAGATAATGATTAACTGTTTCAAATGAATTGTGATTATTATTATTATTATTATTATGATGATTAAGTTATAGTCAAGTCTTAAGAAACATAGGCAAACCTTTAAATTTTATTATCCCTAATATATATATGCTAAAGCATACAGCATATGCATGTATATACAACTATGTCTCAAGCTCTACATTTGTTTTCTGAATGAGGACTACATCTCTTCTCACTTGACAAAAATAGCATAATTTCCAATCATGACATTCTCATTTCTGGCTGGTTCATCAGTACAGATCCTCATTTCAATATTATCTCCATTGTCATCAATCCAATATCTCGACTGATCTGCTAGTCCTAGCTTATAAATGATTCACACAACTAGTTCTTATTTTTAAAAATTATTATAAAAAGGAAGTGTTCCATTTTAGTAGTTGGCTTGGAAGCACAAATCACATAACGTGGTCAATGAGCATATTAAGTGTCGTGGTGCTATGAGCCTATTGTTGATTTTAATAATGAGAAAATAAATGCATGCGTAATTATACAGAGGAAGAATGGACATTGTTTGTGCATCTAATCTTGGATTTCTCCTTCACTTGCTGATGAATATGCAGCTGGAAGAGGCTGAGATTTGGAAGAGGTGTCAACCTAACACAAAGACAAGTGCTCATTGCTCAAAAGACTTTTAGAGAATATTTCATAATAGCCTGCTCCACCTGTAACTCTTGCTCTACTATCACATGTACATGTAGTTACCTTTTGTTTCTTCTGATGATCATGGTCATCATGTTTACTTCTCTTAGCTTTCTTTGAGCTGCTAGGACCAGAGCTACGAATCTCACCCTCAGACTCTGAGGACTGAGAGAAAGAAGAGAAAAGAAAAGACAAAGAACATCCCATCAACCACTCATCTGAGTATAATACACTTACACTATGGTGACGTTTCTTTTTTGACTTCTGCTCAAAAGAAAGGAGAGGAAATCAGAGAAAACAGATAAGTACATTAACAATGTACATCGAACCTTTTTATGTTTTTTAGATTTCCTTGAATCTCTTTCCTCACCTTCGGACATTGAGTAACTAGGGGAGCGACGCCTGCTGTGGTAATGGCCTCTATCGTCATCATCAGAACCAGAGCTAACCTAGTGGAAGATAACTCAATCTCCCTCTCTCTCCCCATAAGCTCTTACTGATTTTGATCTCTTCCTTTTCTTTGTCTTCTTGTGAGAGCGATGGCTGGTCTTTTTCTCTTTTTCTTTGACACTTTTGCTTTTCTTCTCCTTGGGCTCTTTGGCAGCCATTGCTTCTTTCTCCTCATCTGTGTCATCACGCTCCCCTAGCTCCTGGAGAATAGAACAGAATAATTATAACAATCCATTTATTATTATTATCATTATTATTATTATTAATGAACCTTTACTGTCTTGAGGAATTCTTTAAAGACACTTAGTCTCGCAGATTCTTCCGGTATCTGTTCAAAGCCAGGCTGGCCCATAAACCTACTCCTTACCTACAACCGAGTGTACAGCCATCACTCTGTTCAACAAATGCACTTACATCTTCCCAATTGTCAGTAGATTCTATTGGAGGGTCAGCCTCCTTCAGCATTTGTTTGAAAGCACTTTCACGCTTCTTTTGCTAAAAACACACACACATGATGATGATAAAGGAATGAAGAGCAGGTCACCTTCTTTTCTTCTGCTTTTAATCTTTCTTTCTCTCTAGCCTCTGCTTTTTCTATATACTAGAAGTGCAAAAAGCAAATACAATAACATCATTGGGTAAAATATTACTTACGATATCAAAAGCTGTTGTCAAATTCCCTTTATCCACTCCATTAGACCTCTCATCGGAAAATATAACAGTCTTGAATTCCTAAATTACAACACAATAATAATAATAATGATAATAATAATAAATGGTTTTACCTCAATACTGGTACTTAGCTCAACGGAAAAGTTTCTATCCTTCAATATCTCTTTGATTATTTTCTTTTCTTCGTGGAAACGTAGTCGAAGGTCTTCAACGTAAAACTTGAATAAATCAAGAGGAGTGGAGCCTAAAAATTCAAATGGAGGTTTCCATGTGAAATGTGTTCATTATTACCTGGTTGTCCGATCATATCAGTGTAGCGCTGATCCTGAGAGAAGGCCGGATAGAGAGTCTTCCAATAAGAGGTGCTGGTCAGTCTCTCTGACTCGTGTAGCTCCTCCAGTAATAACTGAAATGCTTCACGTCTCTTCCTCTGTAGTCTCTTTTCACGGTCTTTCTCCTTCTTCTTATTTTCAGCTTCTTCCTGGATAAAGGATGCATGGGCATTAATTGGGCCAAAGACCATAAGGTATTTCGTCAAAAATTGCTCCGAGAGAATTCTCCATTTTTATAATTTTTTCTGATACATATACATGTTCTTATGTTGTGTAGCAAGTTTGAGCTGATTCCGACCAAAATTAGATTTTTTATGAATTTTTAAAGTTACTCAAAAATCGGGCCAAACACCCTGTACTATAGTACAGGGTCTTTGGCCAAATTTCGCCAAAATTGACTAGGAGAGAATTCTCCATTTTTATAATTTTTTCTGATACATATACATGTTTTTAGGTTGTGTAGCAAGTTTGAGCTGATTACGACCAAAATTAATTTTTTAATGAATTTTTAAAGTTACTCAAAAATCAAGCCAAACACCCTGTACTATAGTACAGGGTCTTTGGCCAAATTTCACCAAAAATGACTAGGAGAGAATTCTCCATTTTTATATTTTTTTTCTGATACATATACATGTTTTTATGTTGTGTAGCAAGTTTGAGCTGATTACGATCAAAATTAGATTTTTTATTAATTTTTAAAGCTACTAAAAATCAGGTCAAGCTTGAGGTGATGACAACCATGCAAGGATTGCAAGCACAAAAATTTTGAGCAGCCAAAATTTACAACTTTTGCACTTCATAACAAATGAAGCAAGGAACTACTTTTCCTTACCTTCTCAAGCTTTCGTATGTGATTCTCAAAAGTGTCCAATATATGCTCTTTGTCCATTACTATACAGTAAGAACAACAACAACAACAACAACAACAATAATAATAATAATAATGTTATTATACCCTGTAATTCATCATCACTGGTGTATATAGGATGGTCCTGTAGTGCCTTGTAAGCCTGTAAAGAAGAAATACAACTCAATTTATCTCCCCCTATCCTCAGTTATTCTCTTGATGCTATGTTCCTCCTACCTGTGCCCATGTTGTCTTGTAAGTCATAAAGTCCATGGCATCAAATATCTTTAGTAAAACTTGACAGTTCCTCTCTCTCTGCTGTCTCTCCCTCTCCTTCTCTCTCTCACCGAGGGCAAAGATGACATCCTCAAACACATTCTAATGCAGTAATAAAATATCATAACCTACATTTTTAAAAACCCTGACTTTTCGATCATCGTGTGTCATTGCTTTCCACAACGGGTGGTCCTCAAATATATCACTGACTCTCCTCCAACGAGTCTGAGAGTGAATCTCTTCGTGTTCCTCAAGGACCTTACGAAGCTCTTCACGATTCTTTTTAGCGACCTGTCTCTGCTCCTCCTAAAATAAATAAACGCAGTCACTTGTGTTGCTAAGGAAGTAAAGGCTCGTTGGGTCATACCTTCTCCTCTTTTGCCTTCTGGGTCTTGTACATGTTGAAAACTTGCTTCTTTTCATTCATCTTCTTGATGGCCCTGTAAATATTAAAGACAGACTTCAACACCCACCCACACAATTAATTAAATATTTCAAGTACAATAAAGTTTACTTGTAGCGTGGGTCTTCAATGATCTGCTTCATGGCTTGGTCCCAAGTGGAGGTAGAGGGGATATTCTTTAGAGAGAGAGAGAGAAGGAAAGAGAGAGTGCTTTATAAAGCATTCACTCATTATGTGAGTATAACCTTCTCTTTCAGGAGGTCCTTGAAAGCTTGTTTAGCTTCTTCGTGGTTTGCATAAACTGGTTGGGAGTCTTCTTGCCTGTAAAGAGAACGATCTTATACGGTTCACTATGAATGAGAGTAAATGGACTTACACTTTTTCTGCTTCTTCAGGTTTCTCTTCATCATCGCTACTGTCTGTCACACTCTCACCAGAGCTCTCTCTAATTTAAAATATATATATATTTTTACTTTGGTCTCTCTGCCACTCTCTCTCTTACTCTTCTTCAAGCTTGCTAGCTTCAGCTACATTGTATAAGATAAGAGTACAAGAATCACACGAGCAAATAATCATCAAGTACTGTATGTCTTATTTCTTCATTACCTCTCAATTGCTCCAATTCTTTAGGCAGTGTCCAAGTTGATTCTTTTGTCTCGGAATTGTAATAATAGATCTTTCCAGAATCGTTTTTATACTCTTTCCACAAACATTTTGATAAAAGAGACTAAAAATAGCATTAATAACAATAAATAATTATAATACATGTACATGTATCTAGCTACATTAATTACTTTACCTCTGCTTTGGTCTTTAGTTCATCTGGTTTCTGCCAGCTGGACTGCTTAGTTTCAGAATTATAATAATAAGTTCTCCCATCAGGCGCATTGTGCATTGACCAGGGACCAGATAACTTCTTCTCCTAATCAATGATCATACAATCAAATAATATTTCAATTTATTTATTTATAATTTATGCAGACAAAACTTCTACATAAATCTTATGTCAATTCTTCACACACAAAAAGTTTACTCATGCGTATCATAATGTATCATACAATGTACCTTCTTCTTCTTCTTCTTTTTCTTGACTTCAGGTGGTTTTATTGATGGTGGAGATGAAGACTTTGAGGATGCTAAGGTATCCCGGGGAACAGGGCTGACAGACTTAGACATCTGAGGCACTGGGACTTCCAAAACTGCTGGCTATAGAAACAAAGCAATAGTGTAATTATAACACTATTCAAACTGTACATGCATAGTAGAAATAAAACTAAAATTAATCAACTTTTTTGTACATGTGTATGGCTATTGTACATGTACATGTACCTGTAAGCATGCGTTAACTGGTTTTACCTGTTGTAGTACCGGCATGACAGGTTGCTGTTGCAAGTATTGCTGAGAGACTAAACTGGGCATACTTGTTGAGGCCATCATACCGGCAGGATCTTGCTGGAGCTGTATCTAAAAAGGAGAAAGGGTAGAGAAAATAGAAAAAATGAATTATTTTTCATCATCTCTAACTTGTTGCGGCATCATTCCAGTAGGAACCGAGGCTGGTCCAATATTATGAGGAGGCTGCATGCCAGGTGGCAACTGATGAGGAGGGATCTGACCCCCAAATCCCATCTGTGTGGGCGGGGGGATACCCGGTTGACTGGGTACTTGAGCAGGAGGGGGCATTCCTGGAGGAGGCATGCCAGGAGGTAGCCCGGGCATTTGACCGGGAAACGGCATCTGACCACCATGCATCTGACCGCCAGGCATCTGACCACCAGGAGGCGGCTAATAGTAAAAATAAAATAAAAAAATATAATCTATTAAGTTGTTTTAATTCCATCTCCCTTTCCCCAAATTATATTCGTATTAAAAACTAATGCCCGCCCACACACACTAATTAATCATACCATAAATTGTGTGGGAGGGGGAGGTGGCAAGAGTCCTGTATTAAATGGCGGCCTGTTTCCTGGAGGGTGGCCAGGAGGAAACCCACCACCTCCAAACATACCAGGAGGAGGATGGCCAGGGGGAGGAGGGTAATTGGCCTGTGGTTATAAAACAAAATCAAACAAATAAATAATATCACACTATTTAAAAGGTAAATATGGTCTTTCAAAATTAAATAAAAGCTCAAAAAGTATCTCTTTGGCTCTAAAAAGCGCCAAACTTACCATTTTGATTCCACGTGTCACACCTAGTAATGGGTGGGGTCACCGCTCCTACAATTAAAATTGGGGGTGTGTCAGAGTGTAGGCGTGGCCACAGTGACTCCAAAATTTAAGAATCTTGTCATCTTCTCTGCTTTCATGGAGTTACAATTTTTGAGGGACAGTTTTCCTGATGACCCTCTGTTGGAAAATTCCGGGAGTCTTGTAAATGGTTAGCTTTGTGTCCCTGCTTTATAGGAGCAGAGATACTGATAGGAGCCTGTATAGCCCACTAAGCTGTCTCACACTCTCTCTCTTTTTTAGAGTTTTTCTGTGCAAGAAAAGTGTCCAATCATTCATACGAGGGGAGACTATTCCTCACACAGAAAGCTTTCTTTTTTGTCTCTACCTTGTAAGAATCTTGCTACTGTATACATGTACATGTAATTCACATCTATGTATATGTACATGTTATGTTGATGTCATTCTTGTATTTATTTTGTGCAGCTCAACTGGTAAATCATACAATATTTCATTTTCAATTGAAGAAGTGGGCGAGATTATTTCATTTATAAGAGTAATACCATCGATTGAGTTTGTATTGAGGAAAAGAAAAGTAAGTGACATCTTCGCGTCAGTAATCTCAATGTTGTTGCACCTTTGCTCTCTATTTTGTATATTTCTCTTTCAATTTTATTGTTTTTATAATGAGCCAAAAATAAGCAATAAATTACCATTTTTAGGAAGAATTCACTAATTTTCATGATCTTAATAAAACCCTAAATGTTCTTGAGAAGGCACTGCCGAGTGAGCAAGTTACATTTACCAGCAGAAAACAAGGTGCCATAATAATGCATAATAAATGTATAATAATTATATTTATATTAAATACATGTACATGTACTATTATTATTATTATTATTATTATTATCATCATTATTATTATTATTATCACTATTATTATTATTATTATTATTTTCATTATTATTATTATTATCACTATTATTATTATTATTGTTTTGTTATACCAGTTTACATGTATATCTGTTAGTTGTTTTATGTGACTTAATCACTTCACAAGAAGGAAATTAGAATCATTTATTATTACAATGTAACATGTACAATTACCAGGGATTGTCTCCTTTTACATGCGTGTTTATCATTTTAAATACTTTTTTATTGTAGCATTGAGTCGTCTCGTTAGCGTTCCTACTAAAGAACTGTTAGCCGATGGAAATGAAATTAAAAAGGTCTGACCATTTTAAAAATTATAATTAAATTAACTTGCACTCTCCCTCTCTCTCTCTCTCTCTCTCTTAGCTATGTCCCTATTATTCTCAAAGTGGTTTTTGTCCACGTCTTCCATTCTGCAAGTTTCAGCATGACAGGCTACAACAATCGTTAGAGGATGCATCTACTCCTACTAAAGATTTTAATAAACTCTCAACTGAAGGACAGCCTCCGTTTGCACGCAGCATCTCAACTCCAGGAACCACGTTCTCCGACAAAAAAACTTCACCCAAAACCCAAGGAAGTGGTTCCAGCGATGACGTCAGTATTGTTACATCGCATGACTCTAGACATGAGAATGAGCCGAGGGTTGGAGTAAATGATGAATCACCTGATGATATCAGTGGGCAGGAGGAGGTGGAGGTGGAGGAGGAGGAGGGAGGTATAGAAGATGTTGTGGTCAAGAGGAAGAAAGGAGTACCTAACATTTATAGCTCTGTCTCTCCAGAGGAACTAGAATGTGAACAGAATTCTGAGGTATGCAAGCAGTAAATTAATGCATGTACATGTACACTGAATTATGCTACCATAGGATCATCCTACACAATATGGATCAGGATTGGAAGATGTAAGCTGGGAATTATGTTTAAAATGCATGCCCTTTATGTAAACACATGTACACTGTTCCTTTCTTTTCCCATTATTTCTACAGAGTGATGAAGAACAAGTTGAGATCCCATCTAAGATACTAGTATATCCTGCTAGCATGATTAGTCGCTCTGATATTGACTCTGGTGACAAAATGATACTCTCTCCTGACATCCTAATGGCCTGTGAACAAAAAGAATTGTCCTACCCAATGGTGTGTCTTGTATGAACAATGAACATGTACTGTACAAGTGATGTGTGCTTTCTTTATTACAGGCATTCTGCTTGGAGAATAAAGCTCAGAATAAGATGGTCCATGCTGGAGTCCTTGAGTTCAGTAACCCTACCCCAAACACAGCATTCCTTCCTCAGTGGATGTTTGATCACTTATCTGTTGGAGAAGGTACAGTACAGTCACATGATAGTCACATGACATTCGCTGTACAGATCATGAGGTTGACTTTGGTTATGTTGATCTTCCCAAAGGAACGTTTGTACAACTACAGCCGGTCTCTTCTGCATGGCTTGTATGTGTTGCATTTATTTGTTTTATGATGCATGTACTACAATCCTCATTGATAGGCAGTGCCTTATGATAAAAGGGTAGCGATACTCGAGTTTCAACTTAGGAATTTTCAGGTACAGCATGTTGTAGCCCGTTTGTGGTAAAGAATTACCAAATACTTATAATTTGTATAGACCCTAACTGAAGGAACTAAAGTTACCATAACTTATGAGCTGAATAAACACACTTTCAAGATATTAAGATGCAAACCGGCCAAAGGTTAAATAATTAGTAATGTAGTTATCATACAATCAATGAAGCATACTACAGTACTCACTTGATAGAGTAAACTATATTAAATTTTTTCCCATCATTACACTCTAGGTATATCAATAGTTGATGCTGATGTTAAAACAGACTTCGTAGAGCCTGCTGATTACAACAGATTTGTATGTTTAGTAATACTCTTAATATATATTCCATTTCCCTCTATTTCAATAGCATTCAGTAGAGGAAGGACAGGCTGAGAACATCATGTTGGATGAGCCAGTTCATTGCACTCTCATTGCTGGACAGTACAGGCACTTTGTACTGGTACATGTAACATGTATGTGTACGTTTATATCTCTTCTTTTTCTTTCTAGCTCTCTCTCCCTCCTAAATTGCAGCCATCTTGTTTGACAGTTGAAGTGAAGAAAGATACTGGGGATCCTGACCTCTTCTTGTGTCAAAACTGCTCAGTTCCATCACAATCTCGGTAGCTACATATGTACATGTAGTCATGTACTGCAATATTAAATTAAATTTGGCTCATATTATTGTACATGTACATGTGTTTATCAAGTTTTTAACCAATTTTGAGCTCTATTTTTGATTTTGCAATGTACATATATAAGCATTCAAAAACATGGCAACTATCACATGATTTTTTTACCTTTAGGTACATGTGGTGCTCTCAAGATGCTGGTGATTCTGTTATCACACTGAATGAAGACGATAAAGAATACAAAAGAGATAAAGTGAGCATTATAATTCTTGCATGCACTGATTAATTTTTTGGTTAATGGGTGGGGTTTCCAACAAAGCATGCTCAGTGAGCTAAACAGCATGCTTTATAAGTTGGCAACTTTAAAAATTCATTAAAAATCCAATTTTGATACATGTGTAGGAATCAGCTCAGACTTTCTACACAACATAAAAACATGTATTATGTATCAGAAAAGATTATGAAAATTAGGAATTCTCTAGTTTTCATTTCTGGCAAAATTTGGCAAAAATCCCTGTACTGTAGTACAGGGACTTTTATTTGATTTTGGAGCAATTTTAAAAATTCATTAAAAATTCAATTTTGATCAGAATCAGCTGAAACTTTCTGCACAACATAAAAACATGTACATGTATCAGAAAGCATTATAACAATGGAGAATTTTCTACTTTTTATTTTTAGCAAAATTTGGCCAAAGTCACTGTACTATAGTACAGGGTCTATTTATCTAAGACAAGAAACTGAGCATTATACAAAAATCCTGTGGGAAGCCCTGTTAATGGGACACATTTTTAAGGGTCATACTAATCCAATGTGTTATTTGATTGCAGCCAATTTTTGCTGGTGTTGTAAGCCTTTTTGAAGACACTTCATTTACAATTTGTTTCCATTCAAACGAAACCACTGACGGGCATTCGATTCAAGCAGCTGGTAAGCCAAGCCCACAATAATAAAAATAATAATAACAATCACTATAAACAGCAAGTCCAGTAGGTCATGTACTAAGATCAGCCGCTGGTAACAGCTCACTGGGAGAAGGAGAGGGAGAGAGAGGAGAGGACAGTAAAGAGGATGAGCCAGTTTCTATTCCTCCTGGATACGAACAGTGCTCATATTGTGACAGTGTCATGCCTCAGCTAAGATTACTGATGCATGAGAGACACTGTGCACAAAGCACTTTTAAATGCCCAATATGCAAGTAAGTGCAGCGTGTACATGTACACTTGTACTATTAGTATGATGGAATTATGATGTTTATAACTATGAATTAGACATGAGGTAAAAGCATTAGTATTACTAGATTATTATTATTGTTATTATTATAGTACTAATAATTACTATTACTTGGCATTTAAATTCTGTTACTGTTGCTCTTATTATTTTCTAGGCAGTGTTTTCCTAAATCAGCAGAGAAGAAGCATCACTCCATAGCTCATGAGCCCCTCACGTGTGAATGTGGTCAAGAGCTAACGCAGTTAGCTCTGCATCATCATCAGTTGACGCAGTGCATTAAGAGAAGTGTCAAATGTCAATTTAAATGGTGCCAACTGGTAAGGACAGTATATTGCACTTAATTCTCTTCATGTACATGTACATGTATCTTTCTCTTAGTCGTATCCATTAGATCAAATGGATGCTCATGAGAATCAGTGTGGTCGCAAACAAGTTACCTGTCCGGAATGCTATGAGGTTAGTACAGCTAAAAAGCACTTTAAATTAGCTATTGTACTTATTCATTAGGAAGTGACCCAGTTAGAGTTTGAAATGCATCTGGAAGCTTTTCATACTGTTGATGTGTCTAAGATAGACTGGACCAAACCTATTACATCACAGGTACATGTACATGTATTTGCATGTATCACTTACATTTGTTTTGTAGCAATTGACGTACCTTGTGTCTGAAATTCCGACTCAAAATGGCGACTTCAAGTGTCACTGCGGAGATAGTTTTGCATTTGAGGATGATCTTCAAGTTCATCAGGTGTCAATGTCTTTGTTTTGTTTTTCATTTTATTCTTCATTTATTTAGCTTACTGTCTGTTCCCCTGAACAAAGTATCCAGAGCACAGGTGATGACGATGATAACGAGGATATTGTTGGCTAGTTGTTTGTGTGTGTGTGTGTATGTATACTGTATTGTCTCTCTGTAGTAACATCATAACTCTCTCGTGATTCATACTACTACAATAATACTCAATAATTGGTGTCGTGTTTTTTATGCATTGTAATAATTATTATTGTAATCATAGACTGTAAAAATTCATTACAAATAATTCATGGAAATGACATTGATTATTTTATGCAGTGAGCTCATACACACAGTACAGTATGGTCATTAATAAAGGTCTACAATATTACTATCTTTAATCGCTGTCATTGGGAGCAAAGCTAGCTACAGAGTAATCATTGCCAGCAGGCTCAGGAGCAGTGGCCACTGAATAATCCTCATTTGATGCTTCAGCTAGCGTATACTCTCCCTCAGTGATGCTCACACTATCGAGACTCAAGGATTCATATATTTTCTGGTCTCCTTCTTCAGTGGCAGGATCTCCACCTGAGACTGCAGCTAACTGTCCACTCACTGGAGGAGGTGGTGGCGGCCTCTTTCTTGCTGGAGATTTACTCGAACTCTTTCTCGACTTTCTCTCAGTTTTACGAGATGTCTCGTTTTTGGTCTTCTTAGGATCTTCTTTACTTTCCTCGTCGTCAAATGGTTTCCATATCTTAGCAAGACGAGATACAAGGACGGACGTTGCTATGACAAATATTAGGAGCTTGATTGGGTCGTTACGAATATCAGTGACAATGAGGAGGTAGTCAGATGCATAGTAGAGAGCTATCAGTAATGGTATCCAGAAGATAGCAAAGAACACTGTGAAGAAGACATTGGATCCGTTTTCTTCTGTAAAAACGTACTCATTCAAGAAATTCCTTGATGATGGGCCAGGCTCTTCATACCATACCTTCCAGGCGTATTTCATTTTTAAGAAAAGGAACTGGATCAGTTCTTTGCATTTTGGTGTCTCAGTTTCTGCTTGACTCTGTCCCGTCCCATTATTCGCTTCTTCTTCCTCAAACGAAAGCACTGACTGCTTATTGGTTGACTTTTCTTTTTTCTCGATTAAATCTTTCTCAAGATTGGCGATAAACTTCTCAAATTTCTCTACGTAAATAGAAAGATACTGAAGGAACAATTTGATAGGGAAATATAGAGGAATGAGAAAAAGAGCTTTCGATACGATACGATCGGGAAATGCCCCAAATGTAAGAAGGAACCAAAAACCATGAAAAAGAACAAAGACACTCAAAGTTGTGAGAAGGGTAATTGAAATGGCTTCTTGGAATGAGAATTTGCAGGACTTTTTCAGACACTTGACGACAGTCATCAACATTGATATTAAAAGACTGGCAATAAAGAACACGGGGATCATGACTGGCAATGGAAAGAACAGATACCAATTGTAAGCACTTGATCTGTTTGCTTTGACATATCCCACAATATCCCATACAAGGATAACAAGCAGTACAACGAAATAACTTAAATTATTTTGTACAGTAGCAACTCTTGTCAAGTAAGCACTCTTAGCCTTGACTTCAGATTTCATCTCTTTTAACGATTCTTCATTTTTCTCCATTTCCTTCTCAATCCCTTTCTCATCATTTTTTGACTTGTTTTCTTTTAATCTATCTCTCAGGGTTTGTCCAAATGAGGCAATGACTGCTACTGAGTCAACGAATTTATCTACTGTTCTGTTAATTCTTTTGGCTATCTTCTTTGAGCATAGTCTACACGTCAGGAACATCATAATACTGATGATCATGAGTATTAGCCATGAGGCTATAGACAAGCGCAAGCGACGAATGTTCTCGTGTGAATTGTACACAAAATCTCGAGCCTCTGGATCATAAAATACCGCATATCCTTGATCATCCTCAGTATCACTGTTAGCATAAGATCGTAACTAGAAAAAAGATTATGATTATTTTTATGAAATAAAGAATACATTGTCAATGACCCATAACTAAATAAACATTGCTCAGCTCAATATGGGAAAGACATAACATTTTATTGTATTTTCATCTGCTCTAGATATACACTACATCTCAAGGTGTCAACAAAATCTCGTTTACTATTACCAGGGATATAATAGACTACGTATATCCCTGCTATCACCAACATCTGGTTTATGTTGTGAACAACAACATCTTGTTGACACTTTAGAGCCATTAGCTTACCCATGTTGTCAAAGTGTCCAGGAGCTGACGAGCTGTTTGAGTGTCATTGGAGCAGAATGGTAACCCAATCACAAGACTCAAATCATCAGAGATTAGCTCAAAGAGATTAAGGGTCAATGCATTGAGTAGGTCTGGTTCTACTATGAGGAGGAAAGAGTTTGTCGCCCATTGATAAGTGTAGGTGTCAGACATAGAGCTACAGCCCGTCTTATTCTCACTGATACAGTACGTGACCCTCACAGAATGAATTGTAGCTTCATTGGGTGGATAGAAGGTGTCAAGAAGCTTCCTAATGTTGGTCGTGTCGTTGTCACGAAGAGCATTTTTCAAATCATCATAGCTACTGATACAAGAAGGAGCCAAACACTGTCCTGAAGACTGGGGTATTATTAGTGCCTTTAGCATCAAAATTGATAGAGCAAGTGAGAGGAACATGATGATGACCAGGAGAAGGAAGAACTTTAATCAAGTTATTTTAATTTATAGCTAAAATAGAATGGTCAATAAAAATTAAATAGACATAATCAAATTAATGGATGGTCAGACCACACTCCCACATTTTGACAGACTACACATTATGTATCA